TTTAAAATAAGTGTTTTCTATGTTTATATAAATTTTGACTAGTAATTTATTCCTGTGATGGCAAAACTGAATTTTCAGCAGCCATTACTCCAGTCTTCAATGTCAGAAATACCAGAAAATTCAAATATGGTGATTTGGTGCTCAAGTAACATTTTTTATTGTTATCAATGTTGAAATTTCGTGTGGTTCCTAACCACACCCCCAAGATTACAGCCTCTCTTAGTTTTAGAAAAAGCTTCATGAACATGCTTGGAGAGTTAGATACGATGTACAGTATGTATTTCATCTTTCAAATAAACATTAGTGAGGTGATGCAGATGCAAATTACGAAAGGGAAATTCATGCTCTATACTTTGGCCTGGCTCTTACCAGTGGAAAAAACCAATAGAACCTCATTGTAGTCGTTCTGAGTGGGTGGCAGAATGGCAGAGTTGGGTGGTGCTGACATTGTCTCTCCTCTTTTGAGTTGCCAAGAGGCGTCTCTGCGCTCCTTCACGAAATAACAAAGGCGTTTACATGTGGAAAAATAAGACACATCAAATATGGATCTCTGTGTGTTGAGAATGTGTAAATATATCTTCAAATACAGGCTTGTTTTTATTTGCTCCCTAGTTGTTGCGGGGGAGTCGGGCTGTTGTCATGAAGCACAGCTCCTCCATCCACTGATCAATATGTTTTCCTCTTTTTCTCTTTCAGAGGAGAAGACACAGCTGGTTCTAAATGTCGACAAACAGCTTGAAGAAGTCAGAGAGTTGGTGGGTCTTTGATCAGTAATTTCCACTCACTCGTTTTCTAAATAATGAATTTGGAAAAGTTCCCCCCCTGCATAAACAACACCTGCAATGTCACCAGTGACATGAAACACTCTTCATCTGGCTGAAGGCTGCTCGGTGCTATTGGTGTGATCACATCCACATAATGCGCTTTTAAGTGACACCGTGCAACACATTTCACGCCATTATTGGGGGAAGGCGCTGTGGCAGGTGCCGAAAGGAGGGATGTGTGTTGCATGTAAATTGTCCCATCATGTCATGTTGATTGGACAGTGTAAATCAGTGGGGGCCCTTTTGTGCACGCCGGTTTGCTCACATGTGACACGGACACATGTCGTAGTTGTCAGAGCTCAACCGTGCCTGAGGTTTTAATTAAGCGGCACCTTCTAACATGACTTGTTTTGCCGGGTGCATGAATCGATGCCTCTGCGCTGCCTCCAGTTGACAATAAACAAGCTAGACAGTTTAATTGTTTTTGTATCAAAATGGTATGTGAAATAGTTTGATTGTTTACACTGAATTTAATTGATGTTTCTAGCTCGAGCAGATGGACCTGGAGGTTCGAGAGATCCCTATTCAGAGCCGAGGCATGTACAGCAGCCGTCTGAAGAGCTACAAGCAAGAGATGGAGAAACTTGAGAAAGAGTTTGTGAGTATTAAAAACGTCCTTATACCAAACAAAGCACACGCGTATTGAGTGAATGCTTTCATTGGCAACTTTCTTCTTCACATAAACATGCGCACATACACACATGGTCTGAAGCTTGGTTCTTCAACTCTAAAACCACTGAAGGTCATTGAAATTTCCACTGTGTTTAATTTAGAGTGTAGTTTTTGCAACTACCACTTGGGCCAATGAGAGCAGACCTGTATTTTTTTGCCAGAAGTCCTTGTTTAGTTATTCATAACTCTATCTGCCCGTGAAGAATCCACCCCACACACATCAAACCTCTCAAGGCGCTTTTCCTCTCAAGCCAAATTTTTCCTTTGCTTGTTTTACATCACCACGTTTGTCTTTCTTACTCCCGTACTATAATAATCCTATTAAAATACACATATTTTTGTTTTCTCTGAGGTGGTCACAGTTATGTTATATTGGATAAGGAGTGGATAAACTGAACACAATAAACAAACTTAAAAGTTTTAATATTTGGAATATGAGGTTGGCCTTGCCTTTGTGTTTTTTAAGAGTTTCTGAGAGCAGGTTAATATACTATATTTCTAGTAAACCCTTATGTGTTACAGTAATAATATGAATATATGTTTATAACACATATTTTTGTGTATACTGATATATCTCAGTATATATTAAAAAAAAAGTTATTCACATTCACACATTCGTCATTTGTTGTACTTCCACTTTAATATATAGATGGATAGATAGATCTAAAATAATTATATTAAATAAATTAAATAACTAAATAAATTTATATAGTTCATGTTGCAAGATGGCACAATGAATGAACTAAAATAGATTTTTAATAATAATAGATTTTTAATTTTATCATTTGTCATCCTTCCACATTAATATACTATATTTCTAGTAAACCCTTATGTGTTACAGTAATAATATGAATATATGTTTATAACACATATTTTTGTGTATACTGATATATCTCAGTATATATTAAAAAAAAAGTTATTCACATTCACACATTCGTCATTTGTTGTACTTCCACTTTAATCAAGTGCATACATACACTAAAATTATATATATATATATATATATATATA